TAACAACACCAGGCAAGGCCCTAAGTTGAATGGGGGGGGGGGGGGGAGAATATTCCTGGAATAAAGAGAAACATAAAGGCAAATCAACTCCATCCATTCCGCTCCCACTTGACTGGAGCTGGGATGGGTTTTTGTACCCCTGCACAAACAACTTTTCTTTACACGTGCACAAGCTGCATTTTGTTCTGTTCCTATGTCTAACTTCTTCATGTCAGCAAGCAAGCAGATAAGCTTCTTATCTCATTTGAGACATACTGAAGAAGACCATTTGTTCTCCCGCCCCCCATATTCTCTCTGTTCCTTTGTGCTCAGCATTTCTCTGCATGTTCCTGTCTCTTAAATTCCATAAAACCTTATCAGAGTTAATGGAGTTGGACGGAGGTGCCCAGAGCTTGACCCTTAATCACAGGCTCTTAACACCTTGTTTAAGGTAACTATTATTTGTGTATGGAAACTGGTAAGGGAGGGAGACTTCTGTTCTAGATTGTAAATTTTAGAATTATTGTTTCAGGGCTGTGTGATCTAATGGGGAGTTCATTTGGGACTCTCATCTTGGGAGCCTGTGTATGGAGGGTGTTATGTACGTGGACCACCTCTAGAGGTCCGTGGACAGGTCAGCGCTTGGATCCGAAAACAAAGGAAACTTCGGATCCTGGATTCCCCAGCCCCAACCAATAGCCACCTTGGCGGGACATTCAAACCCTCCAATGGGAGTGGGAGGGTTGCTGGTGGATATGTATATAGTTGGCCCCGTGGCCGTTAGTCTTTAGTCTTTGTCTATGTGAAGTACAATAAACGTGTGCTACAGCATGTCGTTGTCCGAGTCCTCCATGCGGCGAACCCAGTACTTTTCAGAGGGTTTAGCTGGAGACCTCCTGGGCCACCAACAAGAGGAAAGAGATGGACTTTGGGGATGGCAGGCTGTGAAGGAGGGGAAAGTTAATTGTTTGGAGACTTCAAAAGATCATTGTTCTGTTGTGTTACTTAGTTCTATGTTTTTATCACGTGATATGATGTTAAGAGTAAAGTAAAAATGTTTTATTCTCTTTGAATCATTGCAAGATTCATTCCAAGTTCTGTTCCACAGAACCCACAAGGTAAGGTCACATTTATACACACTTACATAAGAATATAAAATTCCCCAAAGGGCGGTCCTGTACCATAACTGGTGACAGTATTCCAAAGGGGGCAAATCATGACCTGTCATTTCTTCTTTATACCTTTTGATTTATTGATCGCTCCTCCTGCAGAGCTGCTGGCTCTGAGCGATTTACAGTTACACAAGTTTTCACAAGGGACTAACAATGTTTCATAGGGGGTAAGGGAGGACAACATATAATTCTTTAAATCGCACACTTTTGCAGCCGACAGGGATTTTGTTCAGCTGTAAGCTTCAGGCTTTCACTTTTTCGGCGTAGCTAGATGACGTCAGTTCTTCCAGGACTGCTTTTGAGTCATTCATTTTTATATTAATGTATTCTGAAATTCTGAAAGCATTTTTATATTAATGTATTCTGAAATTCTGAAAGCAATGGTCCTGCTGATGGACTTCTGTTCTCCTCCCCACTCCATTCTGCTCAGGTTTGGGCCTCCATGACCTTCTTGTTCATTGGACCCGAGACCTCAGCAGTCCACACATTACGGCAATTACGCGATGGTGTTGGAAGATCCAGGTTAGGTGAATGGAAAATTGATTGCCTAAACTTGGAGCTCATCATCTTTCACGGTGAGTGTGTGAGTATGTGTCTGTGCGTGCGTGAAATCTTCTGTTTAATCCTCTTTCCCCTTCCTTTACAGGCCTTCAATGTGTCCTCGAGCTCCACATTCATCAGGAGAAATTATTCACATCACCTTGGAGCCAGTGTGGTGTCACTGGCCTGTGGCAAACCGAGGTTCATTCAAATCCCCCTCAGCCATGAAAATCATTGGGTAACTCTGAGCCAGTCAGTCATTCTCTCTCAGCATAACCCACCCCATAGGTGTGTAGAGAGGATAAAATGGAGAAAAGCCAGGCTAAAAAGACAGAACACTGTCGTGAAATTCTCACAAGGTGGAGGAGACTAGTCACAAGCTTTGTCACCATCAGCTGTGTCATCCAAAATCTGAATAATATTTTGGGGTATTTTATAGCACATGGACATACATCATGATACTCAAATGAGTACAGATTTCTTCTGACAAATCCAGTGAAGATCCTGGCTGCATTGTTCACGATCAATCTTATTCTTTTTCAAAGTACCACAGTGCTGCTTCTCAAGGGGAAATCCTTGATACCTGGAATAAAGGAGAAACCATTGCCACAATGTATGATCACTCCCAGCTATCTTTCCACAGAGAATTCAGCACTCTGGGATTTTGCTCAGTTAGACTGCACATACGTTAATTAACTAGGATGGCCAAGAACTTGGAAAATTAGCAGTTAGGGGAGCTGGACAGTCCTGATTTTAAAAGCCTGTGGGGGGGGGGGAGTAAAATCATGTTGGAAAAAGCCAAGTGAGAGGGAGACTGAGATGGAAATTGATGCTGAGAAATAAATCAGGTTACATGGTATGATTTAGGTCTAAACCTGAATACTGATTTATTCATTCAGAAAGATTACTTGAAGAGGTTTGCTTATGTTTAGCATATACAATCATTTTTATAACTCAAATGGGCTGGATTTCAACGTCTTAGAGCACCAAGGACGAGATTTGGGTTGTTTCTGTATGGAGGTTTTGCTTCAGAGTGGAGCAGCTGTTTTGGGAGTAGCCACACACTGTCACCCCACACACACACACACACACACAATTGTCCACTTTCTGGACTTTGGAAACACTGCAGTCAAAGAGCCTTTGCATGCCATGTGGGCAGAAAGGTGCCCATTTCTGAACCTATCCTGTGCTTTGTAAAACTATCGCCAGAAAAAAACTGTGCCTTGCTTGAAGGGACAAACTATCCTGGGGCCTCGCTACATGGAGTACTCACTGTGTCTGATTCAGTAGGGAGCCGTTCAGCCAGACCCATTTCTTCTTTGTCGGTTCAAGATGAAGTCCAATCCACACAGGAGCCAGTA